AGAAACCAAGGGAGGGGAAAATAAATCCAAGACATTCCCTATGGCAATATACAGATGTTTACAGACTTCCAAGTCACGTATCATCCGAGCACGGAAAGAGGAGAGACTATGTTTGTGAGGCAGCGTGGTGGAATCAGGCTCTCGTCAATTTTGGGGCATGTGGAGTTATTGGTATCATTTTAAAGCTTGTTCATTTATAAGGACATAAAAGATGCTGAGCCAAAAGACAAAATTTGAAATAATTGCCAAACTGGAGGAAAAATGCCTGTTTCTTCGATTTCATTTTTTTGACGAGTGCCTGATTCCACCACGATGCCTCACGTTTAGATTTATACTTCACACTCCCTGGGTCCTTAGCTTTCTAGCGACAAACTTTAACCTTTCGTTGGAGCTACACCAATCATCAGGAAACATTTTTCTCATTAGTTTTTATACAATTACTTTATAAATGGTGAACATGCCGCAGAAACTGCGGGCCTTTGTAACTCAAGAACGGTACAAGACTTTTGGGATTTCTGGAAAAATCTCGGCCAAAACATTCCACAATTATCGTGCAGACAAAACTTCGCGGTGCAACTTATTGTCAAATATTTCTGTTAACTACCGAACATAGACTCTCCATAGAAAATTCCTTAATAAACACTAATTAAGTATCCAAGTGGGCGATTTCTGCAGATTCTACAAGGTTTGGGGCTATATCGCTTATAAAAGTAGGTCTGTCATTTTTTTCAAATCGTGACATCATCTTTTTAGAACACATGTTTTGAGAACCTTCAGTCCAAATAATGAGTTCAGTACAAATTTATTTCTTGTTACAAGTTTTTCCGCAAAAAAATAGTCATTGGTGAGCTGTGACGTAGGCCATATGAATATATGCAAAATGTGTGTGAGAAGCGGGTAGTGCTGTGAACCATCCCACTTTATATAATAGATTTATGAAGAAAAGTTTTTTAATTTAGCCTATATTGCTGTGGAAAAATAATAATGATTAAGTTAAGACAAACTGATACAAACTGCTGTGCAAAGTATGGATGACATTGATTCACCAGTTAAAGAGTTATTTGAAAATAAGTTGCGTCACAAATTTTTTACCGCATTATATGTAGTAAATCTGATTCTTTTTCAGTACAAAAACAAAAAAAACCTCCACAGTTTTGTCTATAAAGGAACAAAAAGTGGTAGACCATAAATATTCAGTAGAGGAAAGGATAAATGCAATGCAATAAATGTCATGCAAAAACAAATGCAAATTTTGAAAAAGGAGTAAATAAAAATGCTGTATAAGCTAAAAAGCCAAAGCAAAGCAACTCAAAAAACAAACCAAAGAGAACTACACACAAAGCCTCTGCAACAAAAAGCAACTGTGTGGTGGATGCACAATGCAAGGTAGATTGTATGTTTCCACAGAACGTCTTGTGCTCTGTCCACAGACATGCCTCTGCATTCAATTTTGTAACCTGAGTGAAAATAATCTCGCTGGCGCTACATGTGACCCTAACTATCATTGTATGAAAACAGAACATAATATGGAGTAAATGGGAACGTTATCGATACCGGTACATGGATAGAAATTAAACATACATGTACTTTAAATATATTCAGCAATATGACTCAACACTACTCAAACGGAATGCGAACATTTTGTTTTCTTTTCTCATTAGCTTATTTATCACTTTGACTGAAGTTTTGCTTCTTCACCCAAGTGACACATATCTTGAAATTAAAAAAAAACCCATTGTCATTGTAGATATATATATGTGAGGCATCGTGGTGAAATCAGGCACCCGTCAAAATAATGAAATCCGAGAAATCTGCATTTTTCGGCTAGTTTGGAAATTTTGGTCTAATTTTTGTTTTTTGGCACCACAGCTTGTATGTCCATTCAAAAACACTTTTATACATGAATTTTAGGGAAAAAACCTTGATTAAAGGCACAACAAATTTTAATTTGCAGTTTCCAAGGTCTCTTAAGCTGTGAAAGTCACCAAACTTTGGAGGCCATTTTCTCACTAATTTTACCTCTGAAACCAGGTGACCCCACCTTCTCACGGCTGTTCCCGAGCGGAGCACTTAGTTACCTGAGGAATTGACCCGGTCAGCCATGCCACGCCCGGGTGGCCAGGGAGGTCACTTTGACCTTTGCTCTACGAGTGAACTGTTGTGACTTAACAATTTTTGTACAGTTTAATATCGTCATTGTGGCTTTACCCACAGGCAAATCAAAGTAAAAATACTATCAACAGATAAAGGCATTCTTGAGCTTTAGAGCAAATAATTTTTCATTGATATTCATAGCTGGGCCCCCTTTAAAACATGGCGCAATTGAGGGCAGCTTTAAGGGAAATTTTTACGTGGGTCTACTTTTTAAAATTACGATATTTAAAAATGTGAACCTCAGATCTATAAAACAATCAGTGGTATACAACAGTGACATGATAAGCTTTCAGAAACACTTACTTTTGGTTCGATTGGTTCAGAAACGTGGAAATTGTAGAAGATTTACCACTGTCCAGCTCATGAAACGAGAGATTTTTCGTTGTCTCCCCACAGTTCAAGCAGAAATAGTTAACTTGTATAGAAGTTTCACTACTATCCAATTCATGAAACAGGAGTTATTTCCTCATTGTCTTCTCACAACTAGAGCTGCTTTCACTTTCACAAACACAAAAATGAATACTCGTAACAAGAAATGCAAGTGTCTTTGAGTTCAAAGGCTAGTTGTCTTCCACTTCTTTCCCTTCAGTAAGAGCTTTCTACTGCTTCCCTTTTCCCTTAATTCCCACTGTCCTTTTCTCCAGTTTTTGCGATGCTGAAGTGAACGAGTTCGCCACCCTCCTCGCTCATTAAACCTAGATCTAGATCTAGGCCAAATCCATATCAACTGTACCTTCCTTTTCTCTGCCGAGTAGTAACGTTTTCTGCGTGTCATTTGTGTAGCGAGTGTTTTTTTCTAAATCAGACAATGGTTGTGTAATATGTCTCTGAAGTGCATGCTCTAGTGATGTGTCTTTAAACTGC